TTTTTGGAAGTGACTTGTCTCCTCAGGATTGCCAAGTGCTGGGCATCTCATGTGATACACTCATGCATCTGTCACATGGTGCCGCAACTGAACTGCTTCCTTGCTGTGCAGCTGGATGGCAAGAACACAATTAGTATATCTCTCTCCCGTTTCTCTGGCACCAGATGTGAGTGGCAAAGGAGCAAGTAGATCGAGCATCAGCTGGGGCTGCACAGAAATGGCTATATATTTTTTGTCAGAAATTATAAAACCAGTGGTCCTTACAAGGCTTAGTTTGTAGGGTTCATATTTTCCATATTTTGAAAGACCGTCACTAGCTCTCAGTTTGCTTCCATAAACTCAAGACAGATGTTAATCTTGATTCTTGATGATAAGGTTGCTGATCTTAAAAGGCCCAGGTGGCTTGGTCCCAGTCTCTTTCCATAAGTGGCACTGTTTGGCCTCCTGGAAATTCCCTGCCTCACATGCTTCCATTAGGATAACCATGTGTCCTATTTTGCAGAGGACAGACCTTTATTTGGAAGGTCCACCAGAGGACAGTCCTTTATTGGAATGAATCTTCTGTTTGAGGACTGTCCTTTGCAAGTCTGACTTGAACCTGGAGTCCATAAAAAGCAGAACCAGGGAACATGAGCGGGAAAGTATTATTGTACCCATGTCCTACTTGCGGCCTTTACATAGGCACCTGTGGCAATACAATGTTGGACTAGATTGGCCTTTAGTCTATTTAACAGGGCTCTTTTTATGTTTCTCTGTTTTTCTCCAGGAAACAGACCATACATACAGAACTTATGTGTGTAGGTTATAATCTAATGTTGCCTCCTTACATGACTAACCTCTTGCACTGTGCAGGCTTTCACTGATCACAATGCCGCACCCTTGGGACAAAGACAGCAGGTGGAGTTCTTTTGCAAAACAAAATAATCCAAATCTGTTCTGCCCTTAAGGACACTACATCCTTGTCCCTCTATTTTATGGATAGCAAATGGAGGCCTACTCTAGCCCATGTTTCATAGACTGCCAAGACAGCTCGAGGGAGCTTCTTGTGGAGGAATGTGTGAATAGGGTTGTAGCATCACCACTGCTACCATGACTTTTCAGAAGTTAATGAAATTTTATTGCCTAGCACTGCAAGTATTTCTGGAGATCCTTATTCCCAGTGGATGACTCATCATGCTATTTCAATATGTTTGTTCTTGCAGCTACTTATTTTCTTCTCAGCTGGAACAGTGCCACTTGATTCTTTGTTATACTCACCCTCAAACTCACATGATAAAATTCTGTAATTCAGAGATTCCCGTCTCTCTCCGTAGGATTCAAATAATAAAAATTTCAAGGGCTCTGAAACTTAAGATAAAAAAACTATGCTCTTTTAGCTCATGAATTCAATATTCTTTACAATACTGTTCCCCATCAGTCCAAAATTGTTATTTAGAAACTCAGGTCCCTCCCAGTGTATTACTAACCCATATTCATAGGTGCAAAGCTGCAAAGTATCACAGCTATAGTAGTAGTACAAAGATTCACAGGTGGCAAAAGCTATGCTGATTTTACCTCAAAGAGGATCAGACTCAGGATCCACAAAAGAATGAAAAACAATATTTTATTTCCACAGTTGTTAACAGCAGTTTTCAGTTAGTTGCATGCTTGGCACCTAAACTCAATGTCATCCCTTTGCAGTTTATAAACCACATTCTGTGATGAGACTTCCAAGTAGAGAAATAGTAATTTGAACACAGAAAGTAAAATTTGACTTTGCATTAAATGTCACTGAAGTCTTCTTATAGAGCATAGAAAACAAAACTGATGTTCCTGACCCAATAGTATAACTGTTGCTCATTTCCAGTGTGAGTTACTAACCCACAGATATCAGATGCTAAATTCTTCAGTCATTCTTCTTCTTTTCATACTAATATTTATTTATTTATTCTTACATTTATATCCCATCTTTGCTCCAAGGAGCTCAAAGTAGCATACATCATTCTTCTCACAACCATGTGAGGAAGGTCAGGTTGAGAAACAGTGAGTGGCTGAAGGTTATGGGGTAAGCTTCATGGCTGAGTGGAGATTTGTGTGGAGATGAGGTTTCTCCAAGTCCTAGGCACCACTCTAACTACTACAGTACATTGTCTCTCATGTTCTTGTGAGTGTGTGAAAAAGACAGAGTGCTGAGGGGCGTTTGCAGTTGACACAGATGTTTGTGTAAGTGTGAGATAGGAGATCTGCACACCTGACAGACTAGAAACTTCAGAACCAGTTTGGCAATGGGACAGATGGCTTCCTTCAGGAAGGTAAAGTTGGTGAAGGTTGTGGGACTAAGATGGATCTATGCTTTCCCAGGATGAAAAACCCTCTCAGGCAATTTCCCAGGAAGATCACTCAGTTATTTTGCATTGTCAAAGCTATTGCAGATTCATCAACAACTCCACTGTTTTCTAAATGTGGGAGCCATAAGGTGCTTGAAAAGTATAGGACAGTTAAATTACATTAGTTCAAGTTGGTAAAACAGATGGGGCAAGTTTCTAAAAATGAAGGATATTTGAGAGGATATTCCTAATAAAAGAACCTTCCTATACATTCTGGTGCTTTGATACAATTCCAGAAGGAAGATGGGAAGCTGCCTACAAATAAAGGGGGTACTAAACTGTGCCACCTTTTCCTGTTTTGACCTCTTAGGAGATCAATGCACGCTGTGTGCAGTGGCATTGTGGCTTGCAGGGCCAGTATTTGCAGCAATCAGTCCATCAGTGACCTCCACCCCCAAAGCTGTTCAGCTCCGGGTAAGTTCACTGAGTCTTTGCAGTTCCTGGTGGGATGGTCCCATAATTAAATGCGCATTATCTGATCTCATGCCAGAAATGCTTCCATTTTCTTCCTGTAACACAATTATAATTCACTGCCAATGTCTGCCTGCTGTGGTGTGATCCTGTTATCTCCACTGTTATTCTGAGCAGCAGCTGTACCATTAGTTTTTTTTATTTAGCTTCTGTATTTTGAAGGTTGATGGATTAGTTCAAGAGCCTTGTGTTTCCATGGTGAGTCGGGCTCTCTAATTTTATGATTAGTGATAGACAGAATGGCCATTGCCATTTTCTCCATGGGAGCTGAGGCTACCAGGATTTAACTCACCTGAAGCAATTAGTAAAACCAAATTGAAAGATAATTATGTTAAGCAAAGCATAAGCAGAAACTGATAATACTGAACACCTATTTTCAAAGACAGAAAAACATTGTCTTCTCTTTGATGTTACAAAGTCATTTTAGTGGGGGGAGGAGAGCATGTGCTGGTGAGCATCCCCCACCATCCCAGCCGGCAGATGACTCATCTTTGGGAAAGTGGAAATGAAAGATATATGTTGTCAGCATCTCTCTGGTCCAAGAAGGCAACATGGTCATTTTTTTTACTCCAAGATCTCCAGACTACAGTCTCCCCTGTGTTGTTTGAGTTGATGGTTACAGAACCATCCTCTTAAGAGGCCTCATTCATTCTAGGCTCAGCTAGGTACCTAGATGGTGCTACAGTTCTTTTTAAAGCTCAGTCTGAGTTTGTTTGATGGTGAAACAACATTTGAGCTTGCTTGTATGACTCTTCAAGCTTACCTTCATATGGGAGCTATGCAGGCTCTCAATTGCTCTGTTTTGACATTGCTTCATTGGAACCTGACCTTGGCTCTGCTTTGTTTTAACGTTTTGAAACTTGACCTCTTTTCTTCTTAACTTTGCCCTACTTGACATCCTTGACCTTGTTTCCCTCACTTGGTACTCACACTTTGTTAAATCCCCCAACATTTGTGTCTCAACTACATGCTTAAAAAGACAAATGAAAAAATATTTTCATTTGAAATATGACTTTCTCCAAGGAATTGAACTTTTGGAGTTACTGAGAGTTCTCTTAGAGAGAGATCCCTGGGGAGCCCTGGGAAGCAGGGAAGCAACAGAAGCTTTATTTAAAGCGATACACTACATGCATCTTGAATGTGAATCCATTCTTGATGAGCCATTACGATAAGCTTGTTATTAAACTGAAAAAGTAGTCATTGGCAAGACTTAAGTAAAAGAGCATGAGCATGTTGAGGGGCATATATAGACATGGAGAACATCTCTTTATGCATAAGACTAAATTTGAGAAGTCTGTCACAGTCCGGTTCACGGGCAATCAAAGTCCCAGCAGGGGATGTCAGGACCAGGGGCAAGATGGTGGGGTGGGAGCAGGAACGGGGGTCCAGAAGCCAGGAGTCAGGAAGCCAAGGGTCTGAGGATCAAGAAGCACGGAGTCAAGAAGCCGAGGTTCAAGGATCAGGAAGCAAGAAGCCAAACGCAGCAAGGCAGGAAGCGTGTTGCTGTGGCAATGAGCTGAAGGGAAATGCTGACCTTATATCCCTTCCCAGTTCTTGCCACCAGGTGCTGTGAGTTACCAATCGGCCTCACCTGTGAGGCCGCGCCTTGCCTCTTCAGAACAAACTTAGGAAGGCCCCAGTCCTGCAGAGTCCTATTGTTCACAGGGCCTGGCTCCTGCACACACACCTGACAAAGTCCAACAAGGTCCCAAAGTGAAATTGGGCATATTTGGAGCGACTGTTAGACAAGTCAGGCATAGACATCTACAGATCAGGTTGGAGGATAAGGCTAAAAGAGACTACTAGCTATGATGCCTCTGTTCTGCCTCCATGGTCAGAGGCATGATATCTCTGAATACCAGTTGCTGAGAATCACAAGTGGGTTGAGTGCTGTTGCTTTCAAGTCCTGCTTGTGGGCTTTCCATGAGTATCTGGTTGGCCGCTGTGAGAACAAGATGCTGGACTAGATGGGTCTTTGGTCTGATCCAGCAAGCCTTTTCTTATGCCCCCTTTTTAACAGTGGTGTTAGTCATTTGCACAGCAAGGTAGATAGATTCAATCAAGTAGAAAGGAAGGAAAAGGCAGGTTTCAAATTGACTCGAATATTTACTCCCCACTGTGGTTTTGTTTATAGTGTCATTATAACCTTTAATTTAAAGTCGAGTGGAGTGCTGGAGGCAAGACTATTTCATTTGCTTACTATGGGGGTAAGGGTTCGATGAAAGTTTAAGAACATTGTTTACGAATAAAAGAATGGAAAGAACAGGTGTGAAAGGAATATTCACCAATGATCCCAAAAGCTAAATTTATTCGGATATCCATGCATCTGTTTCTCCGTTAGCTAGGCTTGTAAGGAATCTATTTCTCTATCTAAGGGTGGAAACAAACATAATATAAAAATATATAAGTATACAGTAGACCCTCAATATACAAACATTTAACTTGAGTGCGTTCAGCGTTACGTGCTTAATCTTTTTCTTTTTTTTTTAAGGATTAAAAAGTGGAAGGAAAGGGGGCAAACATCTTAGGGGAAAGACTTTGGCAATGGCCACCCGCCATTGCACCCAAAGTGTTTTGACTATATATGATTTTGGCTTTAGGCATAATCTCTGGAATATAATCCCATTGTAAATGGTTAGCATACTGTATAATATAAAACGTGGAACTTAGGTGCCTCAGCTATGTTGTGAGCACAGTTTTGTCCTGGTTTTGAAATAAAACACAAATCAAATGTTGGTTCAGGATGCTTCCCAATATAGATTAATGTTGTGAGCCACCCCATGATCCTCAGCACTCATCTCTAACATATCCAGGTTGGGCTGCCTGCCTTAAAAAGAATAAGACTTCATAAACATCAATTTGATTATTAGTCATCTTATTAATTTAGTAATAAGTGTTTCAGTAGGCACATTCTTTAATGTCCTGACTCAGTGGAAACATTTGATAATTACTGATTAGTTTAGCAGCTGACAACCTCTTTAATCTCTCCTGTTGGTCTCTTGATCCCATAAATTCTGGGAATAAAAAGACTGCGGTATGCCAAATGGTCAAATCAAAGCCAGCATCCCTTGCTCTTTATGTAGTTTGTTTCTTTGATATTTTCAAAAGACTGTTGTTCTGGAATTGCAAAATGGACTTCCGAGGAATAATTCATATTTTTTGGGCTTTACTTTTATTCTAATAGAACGTTTCACTTTCATTATTATCCCAATTATTACACCAGGACCTAGGTAATAAAAATTAAATTTTAAATTAGGTGAGCATCACATTCAATATAATTAAGGTTGTTTGTTTTTTAAAATCACTTTAGGCTGCACTCCTATGCACGCTTACCTGAAGTCTCCCTGAGCTCAGTGGGACATCTGAGCAGATATGTTGCACTGCCGGTGTACGAAACACCTCTATCCAAAAGGAAGTAAAAATACAGGCTGATAAGGAATTATTCGAAAGTGGTGAGTTATAATTGTCATATACTAAATTAAAATCTGAGAAAGTAAAAACATGCTTTAAATTTTCCTTCTTTTTATAATGGTAGGAAAAAAATATGTTTAAGTAAACACCAGTTTAAGAAGAAAAACTTTGCTGGATTGAACCAAAGGTCTATCTCAGGGGTCAGCAAACTTTTTCAGCAGGGGGGCGGTCCACTGTCTCTCAGACCTTGTGGGGGGCTGGACCTTTTTGGGGGGGAGATGATGCAAGAGCGCCACGAGCCCCGGTGGCTGCTTACCTGTGTCTTGAGAGTGGCAGGGGCTGGCGATGGTGGCGGAGGGATGATAAGCAGTGTGCAAAAGGGCTCCAGAGAGTGGCTGCTTAAAATGGCAGCCACTTGAGAGGGGCGTTCAGCCAACTGCGGCGCCTGTGTCTTGCAAGTGGCAAGGGCTGGCGGCAGTGGAGGGACGATGAGTGGCCCTCGAAAGGGCTCTGGAGAGGGGCTACTTAAAATGGTGGTCGTTCGAGCGCTGCTGCTGCTGGCACCAACAAAGTCCAGCCCCCTTCCTCCTCTAGGCAGGGCGGGAAGAAGCCAAGAGGGAGGGAGGGAGGAGGAGGCGCCACCACTGCCGAGGGAGGGAGAGGGAAAGAACTGAGTGCTGGCGATCCACACGGCGATTCCTGGACCATCCGCGGGCCGGATCCAGAAGGCAATTGGGCCTGATCTGGCCCACGGACCTTAGTTTGCCGACCCATGGCCTATCTAGTCAAGGATTTTATTCTAACAGTGGCAAACCAGATGCCTATGGGAATCAAACAGATTTGAGTGCAACAGAACTCACCCCACGTGTTTTTTTGATGGTTAAATAATGTATCTATCGTTGTCATTGAACTTTAATTAACACATGGAGCTTGTGTTTGTTTGGGCTTCCATTTTCACTCCATTGGAAGGGAAGTGATCTGTGTACAGTTACAAAAAACAATTTATGCACAGATCTGACCCTTCCCCAGGAATTTATTAACAGATCTGACTTACTCACCATCGGAGTGTTCTGGGTGCATCTCACTGCTTGGGGCCGCTGAACACAGAAGGACAGATGGATCACAGCGACATTTAGTTTTGTCAGGGTAGAAACTATCTTTTCAAAAAGATAATTGAGGCGGCCGCAAAGGGATAAAGTACATAACATTTCCTTAATTACAAAATTGTCTGTGTGGATGCTGCATCTTTCAAACACTAGAGTTTATGCAACTATGGTGATTGGTTTCTTTTTAATACCTTTCAAACTGGTGTGCTTCACAATGGAAATGCTGACGCAGCCTAACCAAATGAAGCTCGGCTCAGCCAAAATGTGTGAACACAATTATTTCAATAACTGTAGACATAGTAGCTCCAGGAATAGATTTAGACAACTGCCTTGCAGCAAAAACACCAATCATATGCCTAAGTTTGGCAGAGAAGGAAAAGCTGAAACAAGAGTTTCTTACAATGAATTGTACACCGGCTACCTTTAAGGACTTTTGATGCAAATTCAAGAATTTCAGGAGGCAAGGGTTAGGGCACTTTGAAGATGAATTCAAGGCCTAGAGATCCTTGGGTTTAAAAATTGCTTTCAGATTGCACTACTTTTGCCCCGAGTTCAGGATAAGTTGGGATTTGAACGCCAGACCATCATCCAATTTTACATTGGCATGGCATTTGAATATGGATTGCGTTCAGTGGTGTCACTCAGCTGACAAGAAGGCTTTCCTTTTTTTTTTTAAATAATTTTTATTAAAGTTTTAAACAAAGAAAAAAGAAAAAACAACACACACAAAAAAACAATACAAAATTTAACAATAAAAACACACAACATAACAATTTAAAACAAACTCTCTTTTACATTCCCAATTTTGAATTACTTATTTTCTGGACTTCCTCATACCTCCCTCTTTTGTATTCCAATCTACATTATTTGTCCAGCAATTTCTTTTCCACTTTTTTAAACCCAATCTTTAATTTAATAAAATATTAAACTATATAACATAAACATAATCCTTGTTCTTAATGTCATATACCTTTAAATTTTTCCCAATCTTAATCTTTAATCTTAATCTATCCTAGCTTTAACCTGTACAGCTGGAAACCACTTATTTTCAATCCAACATCACTCTAACATTCCTTAATTTTGCAGTGTTTCTGAAGATAGTCTTTGAATTTCTTCCAATCTTCCTCCATCGCAAGAAGGCTTTCCTCAGTGCAATGGAGACGCAAGCAATTTCAGCAGTTCTCCTCCCCAAAGTACCACATTCAAAACATTTTGAATTTGAAATATCCTTCCTCAAGGTACAGTTAGGCTTGTGGGGAGGGAGTGGAGCTTCCATTGGCATTGCAACATGGTAGTGGTGGGTTGTCCTGAGAAAAGTGGTTTTTCCACACCCAATTCTTTTTAAAATTCTTTGTTTTTTTTTAAAATGAGGTACCGGTACTACGGTAATTACTTGATAAAAATGCCATTGATGCCAGCACAAAATTGCTGCTATGGGCAGCCACAAAAAAGATTTGCTAGTTCTCTGTACTGATGAGTACCGCCACACAAAAACACTGTCCACACCCATGATTTAAATAAATAGTCCTTAAATTTAGTAGAGCACTTTACTATTGTTCTGTCTGTCATTGTTCTGTCTGTCATGCCAGACCCCCCTCAGGCAACAACAATGAATGTTAGTCCAGGTATAAATTCTTTGGGAATTACTGTGAAAGTGACCTTGACATATTTTTCATCTTAATGCCTGCTGCCTTACTATGTGAATTCTTCATTGAACATCTGCTAGGCATAACAAACAATTCTGACCAGAGAATTGTCCACTACTTGCAAGCTGGATCTTTTGACTAAAAAATTGCACGTTGTTTACCATTAGCAGCTTTAATCACAAATATAAAACCATTTATTAGCCTGGGGTTTTTTGTTTCTGGTTTTTTGTGTTGCTCTATTTTGAGAAGTATATTATTCCTGGAAGTGCCATACAAACCTAATAATATAAATGCACACTGAAGAAGTGTGCATGCACACAAAAGCTCATACTGAAATAAAACTTAGTAGGTCTCTAAGGTGCTACTGGACTGTTTTTTTATTTTTTTATTTATTTTGACTGCATGACACCAACACGGCTACCTACCTGAATCCATAATAATATAGTAATAGTTACAACCAAACTTGAAATGTATTTGACACACTACTGACAAAACTGAACAATTGGCTAAGATCATCCACAGTCCCAAAGCGACCTTCTGCTTCATTTTGCTCAGTCATTGCATTTTATTTAAAAAGCGTGTGTCTCCTCAAAGGAGCAATAGAATACACTATTTCACACTGTTCCAAATCAATATATAAATGAAAGAAGTCTAATTTCCACATTCTCTATTCTTATCAAGATACTGTATAAATAATCTGCATTTCTTTATCTAGTTTTTGTAATCAATTTGCCCTCCTTGATCCTCTCTAGGCATATTATGTTTCATTCATTAACTCTTAACCAACCCAACCAATATATCTGCTGCGGAACTGAAATTTACCAAAACTTTTTACTGATTTTTAAAGGAAAGCAGAATCATCCCTTAAGACTCACTTGAAGTAGCAATCACCATGCACAGACCACTTATCCATCTGTTACCTCAGATCAGAAATTCCTTTATAAAAGCCTGCAAAAAGAATGTTTACAGTGCAGGAAAACAAAATGAAAAATAACAATAAATCATTTATTTCAGTACATGAATAATACCAGGAGGAATTTTTCCCCACATGTCTATGATGCAGGAAGAGATATCGGAACCAAGATCTGTTCCATGTCTGGTGGAATTCGAAGATTTCAGGATCTGTGACCTTCTAGTTAGCAGTCCAAATCTCTGACCAGCCACCTTTGCCATGTTTCCCTTCTTCCCCATGTTCACCTTTGAGGAGGGAGAACAGTATGGCTGCAGTGCACACTGCCTATTGGGAAGTTCGCAGAGTGGGGTACTCACCCTTGCCCTGCATTTTCAATACAGTACTGGCAGCTGTAGTCTTGCCCGTGTACTGCCTGCACCAACATGGGCGGCAGCAGCAGGATGTCTCTAATGCCTGTCACCGGCCAGGGTGGTGGCTGCTGATGAGCAGTGGCATGCTTGCTTGGTGGGCAGCAGTGTCTGGGCCTTGTATTTGGACTGGTAGTTGTGCAGTGGCAGCAGCAATGTCCCTGCCTATCCAGGCCAAGCTGCAGGAGCAGAGCGAACCCATGCATGTCAATCAACAATGAAGCACGGCCACCCCAGCCTGCTTGCAGCAGAAAGCAGAATCAGTCAGGTGAAAGGCAAATGAGATGTATGCATGTGATATGCAGTGAATATGAAGTGTGATTAATGTAAGTGGGCAGTGAAACAGCACTACTGATATGATCAATGCTATCATAACTGGCCTGTGTGTATGTATGGAAGTTTGAGCAGTGTGAAAGTGCTAGATAATGGAATAAGGGTATCTCAAGGATATCCATTTCTGTCTGTGAAATGTGGGAGGAGATTTATTTCTTTACTTACAAAATGTATTTGTATACCACCCACTCATGTAAAACCCCAAGGCAGTGCATCACACAGAATACTATAAAGACAATCCAAAATCACAAAATAATAAAAATAAAAAATGACTGGCTCAGCTAAAGAAAACAAAACAACCCAATAGGCCTGTTGGCATAAACAAAAGTTTTCGAGAGACACGTGAAAGCAAACCTGTGAATGCCTGCTGCGAGAAGCGTTCCACAGTGTGGAACTAGCAACGCTACATGACTGACTTCAAGTTGAGCCTAGTCGGGCTTTGGTAACATGAGAGACAACCAACAGCACTCCCCTAGATGATCTCTGATCAAGCTGAGATGTGGTTAGTTCATTCAGTTGGCAACATTATTACCTTTGGATCTAGGAGTTTTGAAGCAGTGTAATTAGTGGAACATTATCATTTTTGTTTTTTGTTTTGTTTGTTTTTTGTTTTTTAAAAAACAAAGTAACTCACATATTCTGGAAAAGAAAACATTGCCCAAGAAGTTTCTCTATTTCACCCTAAATTTCCATTTTTCCATTGAAATGGAAAAATAACAGTCCCCCCTCTCAAAAGTTGGTTTCCCCCTATTTTTTCTCTCACCACCATTTTTATCAGCCTTTAATAAGACCCTGTACAACTTTACCAATAAACTGTTCTCGCAACAGTTGGTGATCATGTGACATTCCCCTGCCTTGTGGCATCACAAGGTCCCAACCCTTGATAGTTTTTTTTTGGGGGGGGGGATCTCCATCCTGCCAACCTAGTGTTTTGGAAATGCAAATATTGGTAACTGCTGACTGATGTGAACAGTGGTGGATTTTGTTTTGTAAACTTTGTAGCTGTGCCATTCTTCATCAACACTGCTGATTTATTAAAAACACGTTATCTGTATGCCCTAAACGGCCTCAGTCCAGTATACCTGAAGGAGCATCTCCACCCCCATCATTCTGCCCAGACACTGAGGTCCAGCGAGGTCCAAGTTACAGGGAACCAGGCAGAGGGTCTTCTCGGTAGTGGCACCCGCCCTGTGAAATGCCCTCCCACAAGATGTGAAAGAGAAAAACAACTACCAGACTTTTAGAAGACATCTGAAGGCAGGCCTGTTTAGGGAAGCTTTTAATGTTTAATAGGTTATTGTATTTTAGTGTTCTGTTGGAAGCCGCCCAGAGTAGCTGGGGAAACCCAGCCAGATGGGCGGGGTATAAATAATAAATTATTATTATTATGTATTATATCATGCATATCATGCAAATTACAAAGATCCCACAAGCCTGAAGTCTGCCTACCCCTGATGTAGCTTATTCTGTAAAGTAAGGATGAGCTGAAAGGAAGGATAGCAGCAGTATAATAGGCACTAATGGTCAGAGGGCAAATTTGCTGCAGATATCATACAGCAATAATTATGTCCACTCCTGCAACCAATTCGGGCTGACAACAGATCCTTGAGGGAGAAGTGGTCTGTCAGTTCTAATAACACCCAGCTTCATACTTTAAATGACTCCTGCTGCGGAAACAATGGCCATTCCATGGACATATGCACAGGAAGCCATGTGGACTGTAAGAAAGATGGATGCGCAAGAGATTTATGTGAAGTGGATTTAGCTTAGGCCATCTTATTCCACACAGCTTAAACTCAAACTCCAGAGAGTATAATGTTAGAACTGATTAAAGCTTTGTCTTTCTGATGTTGATTCAGATGTGACATTAAAATTCGACGCAAAGCAAATCCATGTAAATTATACACTGGGACAAACCTGTCTTTGAAAGAGACATTAGCCATCAGTACAACACAAGAACTCGGTGTCAAAGAAACTGGTGATGAAATTGCTGATTGCAATCCTGCCCCCCAAATATCAGGTCTACACTGGACTCTTTGAGAAGCATCAATAAGGTAGAAGGAATTCCTTGTTTTTAGCGGAGGGGAGAAAGTTGAGTGGGAGATTGTGCCCATAAACACTGCTGCCTTGGATCTTAAAACCCCACCTATTAAAAATTGTGTTTTTATAATGCTAAACCCATGCTTTTAAATTATTCAAATAATGTGGACTAAATTAATTATTCTGGTGAAAGGATTATAATTCCATTAACTAATCTTGAAGCCATAATCATAACTTCACTGTGAGCTGCCTGATAATGACTCACTATCCTTTTTGTCCTCCTCCTCCTCCTCCTTGTTGTTGTTGTTTAGTGGTTTAGTCATGTCCGACTCTTCGTGACCCCATGGACCAGAGCACGCCAGGCACTCCTGTCTTCCACTGCCTCCCGCAGTTTGGTCAAACTCATGCTGGTAGCTTCGAGAACACTGTCCAACCATCTCGTCCTCTGCCGTCCCCTTCTGCTTGTGCCCTCCATCTTTTCCAACATCAGGGTCTTTTCCAGGGAGTCTTCTCTTTTCATGAGGTGGCCAAAGTATTGGAGCCTTAGCTTCAGGATCTGTCCTTCCAGTGCACACTCAGGGCTGATTTCCTCCTTACCTGGTGATTATTATTACAAAATGCAAGTCATTCTTTCTTCTGCAGCAACCTTCATTCTAATCTTTCACTTTCTGGGACACGAACGCATTCTCTTCTTAGATATAATCACCTGCTTAACATCTGGGTTAGCAATTTCAGGCATGGCAGAATGGTTTGATAGGCTTGGCCTTGAGTATCTTGTCACTGATCACAAATACTGATAATGCAAACGGTAGTGAGATTAACTCCTTTCTTCTTGGTGAACAAGGTAATTTTCACAGCATCAAAATGATCATATCAGCATTCTGTTCAGGAAATGTAGGCATCACTACACCATTTATATGCTAAGTCTACAGTATTTGATATCTGAAAAGGTTCTTCTGAAAGATAGGATCTTTCCATGTTTGGGGAGAACATCTGCCTTGAATAGAATTCTCAGGTGAGCAATGCTGCCATCAGGGCTCAGTAGTCAGGCACCTGCCACGGTCCATGCCCCAGGAAGGTGCTCGGTGGCCCTGCTCCTCCTCCCTACTGCCACTGCATGTTCACCTGCTCCTCCAAAAGAAGCATGCAATGAAAGGAGTTGTAGCCCATGCTCATCTCATCAGCTCCTAGGTGGACTGGGATGTAAGGGAGAAGACTAGCTAATGGCCTAAGGTACAAAAGCAGCAAAAAGGAGGTGGGCCTACTGAGGGTATCTGGGCCAAGGATTGGGTGGGGGCAGGGTAGGGAAGGGAAGGACAATCACTCAGTGGCAGAGCACCTGCTTCACATGCAGAAGGTCCCAGGTAGGACCTACATTTTGGGGAAACCTGAAGCTTTAACTGATATGAGGGCCTCTTTGCAACCAGCAACAAGGTCTGGGTAACCACTATTATCTTTTTCAGTAGGGTTGTTCTATGACAGATCACCACCTTAAACCCCCCCCCCCCAAACCCTACTACATCCCTCTAGGATTGGACCCTGAAGCTGAAGCTTCATTAGTTCCACAGTAGATCTGCCCCTGGTCCCAGGTTCAGTCTCTCACTTCTCCAGAGAGAAACCAGGGAGAGCTACTGCCTGTCAATAAGCAAACAATACTGAGTTAGTTAGTTAGTTAGTTAGTTAGTTAGTTAGATGGATAGATAGATAAAATCTTTATTTGCATCAGCCACAAGCCATAGCAAAGAAAACAAATACAATCAAATACAGATATAGCTAGATGGTTGGCTATACAACCAATGGTCTGGCTCAGTACAAGGCAGCTTCTTATGTTCCCATGCCCAGTGGTGGCTGGTGTCCACTGGTGGAAGGAAAGAGACCAATAGTAGGTGAATCCAGAGTCAATGACTACCTAATTATAGTTCTGTCCCGCATCATCCTCCCTCCCCACCCCATGAATTGTAAAAGGGCAACATTGAGGCAGGGCCACCCCTTGGGCTGGTTGAAAGTAAGAAAGTAAGCAGCTGAAGGCTGGCAAGGGGGCAGAGTGAGATTAGTGAGGCAGTGCCCTGTTTATCATAAAAGGTCAGCCTCCATTGCCTGTGTTACAAATAACATTGGCTCCCAATCCATTTCCAGGTCCAAAGTGCTGATTTTGACTCTTAAAGTTCCTCATGGATTAGGGCTTGAATACTTGAAGAATTGCCTGTCTCCATACATATCTATCTGTAAATTAAGATTGTCAACAGAAGACTGCCTGTAGGTGTCCCCACCATTTGAGATGAGGAAGGTGGCAGAGAGGGAGACTTCTTAGCTGTGGCACCTTGGCAGCTGAAGGACCTGTCCTAGCACTTCCATTATTATTATGTTAGCAACTTTTTTTATCAGCATGAACTTTTAATATGCGATTTTAATGTTGCTGGCTGCTTTGTGCTGCTTTTGGGCTCTAAGCTTATTTTATTTGTTGTATTTATATTTTAATTCTTTTATTATTTTTATAACCTGCCTGTGAATATGATTGAAGGACAGTATAAAAATACTTGTAATTAATAAATCCTAAAATTAGCTTCACAGCTCTTCAGCCAAATATATCACTAAGACTGTAACAGACATTTTCTAGGCACATAGCACCAATTGAGAGCACTGATGCTGATTCATAGGTCTGTCCTTGATCCATCTGTGGCAATGAAGCTATTCCCTACAAAGGATCTCCCCCCGCCCTCATTTCACAGTGCCAAATGTCACAGAGCATGTTTATCATAATAACACTTGTGGTTCTCTCTCTCTATCTCTCAACTATAGAAGTTTAGCACAATGACATTGTAAAATGTCTTAACCCACTTCTGGTAAACCCAATGATGCTCAATACATAGTCCCTCTACTACCTCCCTCCATTTTAGCATATTAATTGCCTGGTAGTGTTATAAAAATCTGGAACATTTTGCAGATGTGATGGCATCAGCCTTGGTATTTATGCAAAGCTATGTAGATAAACCGTTCAAAAGTCTGGCATGTGTCCATTGGACAAATTGCCCAACCAATATGTGGGTAGGCAAGGCCTCCACTGAAAGCAGTGCTAACAGCCAAGATATCTCATCATGTGTGGTTGTTAAGGACATCAGTCTCAACAGACTCTCTAACACTTCTCTGCTAATAGCATTTTTAAAGGAATAGAATTACCAAGCAGGTTTATCAGATGCCAACATTTACCATGGGAGTACCTTGCCAATGTTTAGCCTTCCCTACTCACTGTAGTAGATGTGGCCTTACACCAAATCATGGATCTATATTCTTCTATACAATTCCTCATAGTGAGCCTTCCAAACTATGGCCGCTCCTGTATGATAGCCCTATTATTTAAGCAATAAGAATTACATATGAATTGTTTTACAATAAACAATCTCCTGTTCCTTATTGCTCTCTAAGCACTAGGAGCCAAAGACAAGACTCCATTCACCCAGTTAGCATTTTTTTAAGAAGAGGTCCCATTCCCTGCAATAGCAGGTATAAGGGGATTTGTCATGGAGCCTTAGCGGAAGATCATGGGTCGAAGCCCCACTTCCTTCAGGCCAAGTTCTCAGCCCCAATTAGGGATGGTGGAAGGGATTCCATTCAGTTTGCTTATGAAGCCAAATCTATCAAATCCACGTTTTCTGAAACAATATTAGAACTGAGACACAACTACGGTATCCTTCAAAATTCATTTTGAATTTTAAAGTTCTCCAACTTAACAATGTTTACAAAAATGAATAAATTAGGAGGAAATGTATATCATAAGGAATATATTGGTAAAAATGACATGCTAAAATGCATTATATAAGGAGGAATTGCTTGCAAAAATGTGTACATTAATCAAAACTGCATGCAAAAATATGTTTATTAGGAGAAATTCACACTAAAATGCTGAAGAATTTCCATGAAGATTCCCCCCTCCAAATATTTCTTCTTCTTCTTCGACGATCACTCATAGCCGAGTAAGATTGTCTTCCATAAACACGGTTTTAACAATGATTCTGTAAGTGACTGTGGAGGCCAATTCTGGATCCACATGTCCTTCCACAGTGGGGACATTGGTTCCCGCGTGGGAGTTGATCACGGTGTGGATTTCCCAAGCGTGCCTTCCTCTTAACACGTTTCTCCCTTGCGTTCTGAGTTCGAGTGTCTTCAAAGTCCATGACACCTTTGGTAAAGGCTGTTCTGCAACTGGAGCGCTCGCAGACCAGTGTTTCCCAGTTGTCGGTGTTTATACTACATTTTTAAAGATTTTCCTTGAGACAGTCTTTAAACCTCTTTTGTTGACCACCACACTTTCCACTTTTAAGTTCAGAACAGAGTAGTTGCTTTGGAAGACGTTCATCAGGCATCCGCACAACATGACCAGTCCAACGAAGTTGATGTTGGAGAATCATTGCTTCAAAACTGGTGATCTTTGCTTCATCCAGTACACTGATATTAGTTCGCCTGTCTTCCCAAGTGATGTGTAAGATTTTTCGGAGACACCATTAATGGAATCTTTTGAGAAGTTGGAGATGGCGTTTGTAAGTGGTCTATGTTTCACAAGCTATATGTGGCTGTAGAAATTTAAGATTTGAAAAATGGATGGAAACAAGATGGATAGATCCTTCCATTCCTAGTCCAAACCAATCCATTCCCACTCGCCCTACCCCAGCATGCCTCCAATTATTATTCTAAACCCACAATGGGATTGTTTCTAGTCTGGTCCTGAGTCAGAACACTGAGCAGTTCCAGGCTTTGCAGCAATGTTAGAAACTCTGTTCTGCAGGCTGGACAAGCTGTGGCATGTTAGCAAGAACATTTAACCTTGGTACCTTAAATTATGCAAATGTTGGGGGAAGGTCAAAATAGGCAGGTCCCTCATGGCTCTTAGTATCTGTGCAGATCTATGTTATGCTTAATAAGGTTCTGACCCTCATTAATCCAATAATTTCCTATTTATTTTAGATACTGAGATGTTGAGATGCTGAGACACAACTGAGTAAATATTCTTTTGAGGGAAAGGACATTTCTTTTGGAGAAAATCTAAAGTAGCAGCTCTGGGAGGTCTAAGTTGCTGAGAAGGATCAATAACTCCAGGATCTAAATACGATATTCATGAAACCCAAGCAAAATTTGTTTTGTACAGGCAACTCCCCATTTACACATGTTCGAGGCATGAAAAGGAGCCAAAAAAGGACCTTAAAAAGAGTGCAAAAACAGCAAAAAAAGGGGGACAAAAATGACATCTAGCAATCCCACAAGCCTTTGCAAGTGCAATTTCAGGAGCCTTTGCACTGACCTTTGAGGCCTATGGAGTGTTGGGAGTTCAAGCAAGGAAGTTTGGAGGAACCGATTATTGTGGAGTTTGATTAATTTTTGTTTTTTTATAGGGTTTCTCCAGTCAGAGTTTAGGTTTAGAGGGTGTTTTCAGGCTTTTTCAACGGTGTTCCCAATATACGTGACTTCACTTAAATGTGCAGTGCCTCAGAACGTAAATGTGGAGTTGCCTGTATGCCATCCACTCCACTAATCTTGGTGAATCCACATAAATGAGCCAGTTTCAGTTCAGTGACAAATTCCTTCCATCAGGGTTTATTAACGAAACCTATCCTTTACCATATAAACATCCCTTGCAATTTGCAGAGCTGAAGAAAATTTGAAATGTACAAAAATAGCATAAATCCAGGTTTATGGAAGCTATTTTCTAACATTTTACATTTTTATTGCTGCACTACATCTTCCCTACTGCATTAAGCTACTATTAAAATCACCCTTATTCTAATCGTGCATCTTCTCTCTCCCCTCCTTCCCCCCCCCCCCCTGCTGCCTTGCATAACATTCAATAATCAGGATGTCAGGGAAAGGCTTTATAAAGTACCAACGGCCTGCAACATGAGTGTCAGCTTGTAGAATTTAGTGCCAGAGAGGTGTTTTATTCATAGCCAGACCGGCGATTGCTTTCACTATGATACATTTTGACCAGTGGATTCTTGGTTAGATTTCCAGTGTGTGTGCTATTACCCAAGTACATCACTTTGCTGTTTTTGATACGGATATATGGCTATGCTGAATGCTTGAATGCCCATCTGTGCACCTGTACAAAATATTAAAGAATTAAAGTATTCATTTTTTAAAAAAAGATTTCCAGTGTGCAATTTTTTGTGTGTGGGGTATTATAATATGGATTGTATTCAACATAGCACTAGGGTGAATGTACTGTCAGTACAAGTATTTTTTCTTGTGTGATGGAACTTCTCCCCCTTTCCTTCCCCTGTGTCCCCTAAATTTGTCCTGGGCAGGTTCTTCCAACCCCCAATATTCTAGAGCAGAATTTTGGGTTGCGAAGGATGTGAGTGGGAGGAGGAGAGGGGGAAATCCTCTTGCACTACCACTAATTCTTGTGCTGGTTCAAAAAATGAGTTGCATGCTCAACACCCACCAAGAGCCCCTGAAATCACTTACAAACTGAAATTAGCAAGCACCTGGCATTTTGACATTAAATACGTTTTTGTTTATGAAGGCTTCCTCTGAAATGTTCTTATTGTTCTTCAGTTTACTGAGTTTCTATTATTATTTTATTTTAAACTGTTTATTGTACACCACTTCTGTAACTTTGGGTTATGAAGTGGCTTAAGAATCTGCAAATAAATATGAAAAATAAATTGGGGACTCTACCACCCTGTTTAAAATGCATACCTGGCTACTGGAGTTCTCCCACCATCTGAATCAAACACTGATAGTTCAAATGTTATGTTATGTTATGTTAAACTATAACAGGTTAAAGAGTAAGAAATAATATACCAAAAAAACCCAACACCCCACTTATAAAGATACTAGTTTCCATGCATCTAGGATCAAGTCCATCCTTCTTCCTGCCAGCCTGCTGGTCATGCCTAGGCAGGTTCTTCTACATTCCTTTTAATCTTTTTTAATGTATAAAACACGATCACCATCAACTTGTATCGCCTTTTGCTGTCTACTGGCATCTTAGTTGTCTTTCTGGTTGGCTCCCTAGATTTCTGTCTTTCCCTCAGTGACATTTAGTCCCATTTAGTTCCATGTCCTCATTGTTCCAGGCAGGACATTGTTCCAGGCAGAAGCCAGCACTCATGTGTCCTTGAATGATTTTCTATCTATAATCGAGACATTTGTCAGGCTGTGCTTCTGAAATTTCCTAGATAAGCATGCTATTGAAGTCCTGTATCCATCAATTCTATATTTTTAAATCTTGCCCAAGTATTCTCTATGTCTCCATCACCACTTCTGCTTTTGTTGTGAGTTCTTAATTGCTTTAAGATATGAATGCTGTGTTATTCACATGGCTGTATATCTCTATAATTTGAGTCCACTTGATTTTGCCTATAATCAAAAATGATTATATATGTGGGTGGATATATATATATATGCATGTTATTCCAATTGTACACCAGAAAACTATTCATCACTGCAAAATTATGATGAGGGCTCTTATTTTTATAATGGCTTCAACAATCATATGCTTTCAAGGGACTTTTAAGAAAGGAAATAAGGATAGACATGGTAATTCTTGGGAGGAGGGGACCAAGGTCTCCCCACCCCCGGACTTCCTGGCACCCTTCTGTGACTCCATGAATTTCAATAAGGCCTCACAGTCATCTTAGCTTCAGATATGATTGATCAGCAAAATGGGTTAGAAAGAGAACAGGGTGGGATTACTCCTATTTTATTAGACAAAAACTGACCATCAGTGCAAATGCATCTTCCACACATAGAAAGCTGCTTTATAGCAGGTCAGGCTACTTTACCATCTAAGTAGCAGCAGATATCTTGGGTCTCAAGCAGAGGACTTGCATATTGCCACCACTGGACTTTTTATCTGGAAATGCCATGACTGAACATGGCACCTTCTCTGTACACATCTTGTGCTCTACGACTGAGCTTTGCTTTCTCCCAACTTTAATGCCATGACTAACCAAAAATCCATCTACATGCATCTATCTCTCTTGTATAAGCACAATGTTAAAATGTAACACTAACTGCAGCCTGGAATTTCAGTCAGTTCTGCCTTACTGACTTGCACAGAGACCCATGTGTAGCTTGGAAACATACATGTGTGGCTCAGTTAAAAATTACTGAATTACCATAATGCATATTGTTTTGCACAAGAGTCTAAATGCAGAATGCTATGTGTTCCAAAATAAGAATGATTGGTCTAATTTTATGCCTTAAAGTAGCAGCTGCTATTCCATCTCCCTCCTCTTTCCTTACAAGATTTTGTAAATAAGCAGGAGTTGTGAAAATATGTCTACTATTAATTGGGGATTTAGTTAACATGCGTAAATAGGGTAACCCGTGAGAATGAAGAATATAAATTGCACTAATAAAGAACATGACTCAAAGAACATATAAAATTAAAGTTCAAGCCAAAACATTCTCACTCATTTCTGAAGAAGATTTGTCTCAGACATTTACTCTTGAATTTGCAACTCAACCATGGGTGAGTTTTCAGACATGAAAATATTAGCTGATAATCAAGCAGGGGGGGAAGTGCTTTCCCCCACAACATCTACAATGCTTTGTAATGTTTTGTAGACATAGAAGTCAAAGAAGGCAGTCTAGAGATGGACAATAAAAAGGTAAAGGGACCCCTGACCATTAGGTCCAGTCGTGACCGACTCTGGGGTTGTGGCGCTCATCTTGCTTTATTGGCCGAGGGAGCCGGCGTACAGCTTCCGGGTCATATGGCCAGCATGACTAAGCCGCTTCTGGCAAACCAGAGCAGAGCACAGAAACGCCGTTTACCTTCCCGCCGGAGCGGTACCTATTTATCTACTTGCACTTTGACGTGCTTTCGAACTGCTAGGTTTGCAGTAGCAGGGACCAAGCAACGGGAGCTCACCCCGTCGCGGGGATTCGAACCGCTGACTTTCTGATCGGCAAGTCCTAGGCTCTGTGGTTTAACTCACAGCGCCACCCGCATCCCAGAGATGGACAATAACCCTCCTTAAAAAAAAGAAAGCTGCTCTAGTGCTCCTGTGATTGCCTGCTAACTCCTCTGCTTCAAATCAACAAAGAAAGATTTTCACCAGGAACATGGAAACATTTGTGGAAATAGGTTATCTATTGGCTGTGGTAAAATTATTCACACACACACAAACTTAAAGTAGTTTCTGTGCAGTATTAATCAAGGCATGGCATTATTGGCCATGACATTATTTATAAAATAGGCTTTTTAAAAGCAGTCAAATATTAGAGGCACCCTAGTTTGGTCTTCAAGTTCTGAAAACTATGGCCCCAAACTATGTTCTCAAGTTTAAACATTCTTCCTGGCATATCTCAACCTAGAGTCTTCATTATTTATGATTATTTAATATTTGAGAATGTAATAAAATTAAATGACACAGAAACTAAGAAAGCCAGAACTTTTAAAGCATTTGCTGAGTAGGCCACTTTGCCAAAAGCAATGCAAAAACTGTGGGTGTTATCATAGTCACAAAAAATAGGAGAGATACACATATATATATGGGAGGGGGACCTGAGGGAGTTAAATCTCTTGCATTGCAAAGATGCAGGATACTAAAAAAAACCCCACTGATATGAGTTGGAGAATACCTCTTTTCTGTTATGCCATTTTTAATAGATTAAAAATGGAACCTAATATAGTTAAGAGCATGTACTGACCAGAAACAACAGTGGTGTCTGGGATAATTTCACTTCATATCCATCTTCTCTTCAAACACAATATAGTTCCTTCCTGACTGATAAGGAGCCAACTAAGTGTGTAGCTTCAAGTAGCAAATATCCCCTTGTTGGTAGGGTCCTCAAAATGATGGTGGTGGTCAAGCTTTAGGCATGTTTGAAGGAGATTGCATATTGTTGTTGTTGTTGTTGTTGTTAGAGTTTATATACAGCCCTATACCTGGAGGTCTCAGGGCAGTTCACTTCAGGTCCATTCATAGAACTGAAACTGCTTTGGTCATCCAGGTTAATATTATTTGTCAGAAGAAAGATGGGGATTGTGAGCCTGTTCATTCTTCTTGACTTTCAGTACCATAGACTATGGTCTCCTTTGGAGTGGCTCATGGAGGTGAGGACGGGGGACACTTTATTTCAATGGTTCTGCTCTTACATCCAGAGCTGTTTTCAGAAAGTAATTATAGGAGACCACCGTTCAATGGCATGAGAGCTTCCCTGTAGTGTTCCAATCATGTTCTCCACACTATTTAACTTCTATATGAAAATGGTGGGAGCTGTCATTAGAAGTTTTGGAGTGAAGAGTCACCAATATGTGGATGATACCCAGCTCAGTCTCCTTGTTCCATCTGACTCAGGAGAGGCAGCTGAGGTGCTATACAAGTATTTGGAAGTGGTAATAGGTTAGATGTAGGCCAACAAATTGAAAATGAATTCTGAAAAGAGGCCTACTAAATAATTGCATTAGCAGAGCCACCACAGCATGTTCCACTAGTACAATGGGGCTTCCTCCTCCTCCTCCTCCTCCTCCTCCCACGTGCTCCCCATGCCCCACAAATCAGCTCTGGAGAGTTGGGTGATCAGCAATCAGGGTGGGGAGAGGAGATAATTCTGTCAGGAAAGTAGAAATGCTTGCACTGACTAAGTAATCTACTTAGTGCTATTTTGAATTCCATGCAGAGGAATTATGTATGCAGCAGAACTTGGAGAACTTTTACACTTTTATGGAAAGAGCAAGCTTTACGGCTTGGGAATACTCTTGGATCCAGCATTGTCATTTGAGGCTAAGGTGGCCTTGGTGGTTGGATTTCTAGCTCGGCTCAGAATTATTGCAATGCAGTAATGATTGTAATGATTTGTGCTTCTTATTTCAAGCAAGAATAATAATAACAATAAATTATTGCCAATAATTTATTGCTTTTACATTACAGCTTTGATATGATCAAACATTGGGCCACCATATTAACGGCATAGAAGTGATCTAAACAACTGGCTTTTCTCACAAGTTTATGGCAGGTGTGTGGAGTTGCACCATGGGGATACTCCTTGCATACTACTGGACTGGGAGGGGCGGCACAAACATGCAGGAAATAATTATATCATCATCATCAAACCTTTTATTGGCATCACAGATAATTATATTGATGGAGAAAGCACTTTTATCATTGAAAGGAAGCAAGTTTCTTTTGAAGCTTGCGAGTTGTAAAAAAAATAACACCTTCTAGTTTTAAACTGGCCTGATCATTTTTTTTCTTCAGCACTCATGGTTTTCTGAAGGTTACATTTTGCTACATCAAGATTAATCTGCCTTAGTCATGCATCCACAGTGGACTATACACTGGAGCAGCCCATCTTAGATTGCAGGATACATATATTTTCATTATGTTCCTGGAGTGTGCTTTTCCCTTTTGTATGTCAAGTTAACATTGGGCATATTATGATCCTATTATGATCCATTCTTATCTATGACAGCAGATTTATTGCAATTGTCTCAGACTGACTCAGCAGGGATTAAACATCCACAATTTACTTTGAGGAAAAGTTTGATGCAGAGTTCACAGACAGATGTGATGTCTCAGAGGATCTCCTGCTAGTATCTAATGTTCTTTTGTTCAGTGAAAAGGGAGATAGAAAGTGGTCATAATGATTTAGAATGTACAGACCTATTTATTTCAGTGAATTTAAGCACATTCAACTTTGCCTTGTACTGGGCTTGCATATTCAAGGCTTATATACTTTTGCTTATTTTTATTTTTTATAATATATGATATATTCAACCAGATCTATTTTCCAAATTTCAAACATCTTCAGAAGCCAAGAACATGCTATGAGTCAATAATTTATTAATGTCTACATAAGCCATGAATCACCCATGACATTTTTATAGGCTTTATTAGTAGTAGCTATAGCTATATATTAATTAGTAGTTTGCTCTTTACCAGCAGAGTAATTTTAATGCAACCTTTCTGTGCCCAGTGCATTATTGACTTATTGATCAATATGTTCATGGAATATATCTGAATATAACATTTGTCAAAGATGAATAAACCTTTAGGTAGCCAATAGTAATTGAGCTTTGTTACAATGATGTCTTATCCCCATATACTGGGAGGGTGCTGCTCAGCTGCTCTAACACAAAAGACTGTTAATAACTGCCACAACTGTACCAACTGACACAACTGCCTCCGGCATATGACATCACAGAGTTCTATAGCCCTGGTGAGCATTAACCCTTTACTTAGCATTTTGAATGTTTTCATCCCACACTATCTACAGCATAGGGATGGACATGAGTGGTGCACGGTTTTTAAAGTATAAAGTGTCTCCTTCCATTATAATGTGGACATAGACTGTCATGATCTGAATAATATATATGCCTTCTTTTAACAATTTTAATTATTATTATCTCATTCCATTTATTATTTTCATTCAAAGCATGAATAAATTAGGAGTGCCTCCTAATTTACTGTGGTTTCCTAGTGATGGATTTAACTTTCAGATAATATAGTGACTGCCAAGGTGACTTAGCCTTATTTATGCTCATAATAATTGACATAGCATATACTGTATGTAGCAGCTGGGATGCTGTTATCCCTAACATGAAAAATATCACAACCATTCAACTTATTAATGGACAACTTGGTGTCAAGCACATAAAAACTATTTATGCTGGCAGATGTGCATCCCACATAGCAAATGAAGACTGTCATCTGGCTGAATAAGAAATGTCAAAGAAACTTACTGATAGGTTTTCTACTGGCAGACTTCTGTTAGTCAGTTCTAGGGGTTGTGAGCCTATTTGTGTCTATGGGCATATTTGGAATTTTGAGAGAGTGCTGTAGGTACCAATGCTCCATTTGCTTCTCTATCCCCTCCCTTAGAGAAAGTGTGCACAAACACACACACAATTTGCATCCCACTGGAGCCCAGTGGGGTATATGGGGTGTTGGTGAGGGATAGTGCCTCTGGTGGGGGACACGTTGTACTCCTTCTGGGGTAGTTTGTGTCAGGAGTTCAGCCTACACTCGAGTAGGACCCTGGCAGAGACACATGCCTGACTGGCATGTTCTCTCCCTCCTGGTTGATTGTTCGGGAGCTTCAGAAGCTTTCTTCATCCCAAACATCACAGCGACCAATGCCAACATCGGCACACTTAGGGATCCTCAGAGTTTGTGCACCTTGCATGACAGACCTCAGCAACTCAGCATTTTGGCTAATCTACTTTATTTACATATAAACACACACGGAGCACTGCAACATGGCTCCCTCTCTCTCTAGCATCAGACAGCAAAGAGAGAAAGAACAAAGGACAATAGTCCCACTTCATGGAACACAGTAACACAAACATCCTGTCTCCGTCACTTCCCACTCTGTGGAGTCAAAATATACCGTCATGTGAAAGACAAAAATCCCATGACTGCAATAATGGATCAGGAATTCTAACATCTTGCCCATCTTTGGTACCTGCTCTGCACTCACCACTCACCTGTGTCTCCTAGAAGCTGTCAGCATGCAACAGTGGCCACACCCCGGGAAACAGCATCAACTGACTGGGTGAAGGTAGTTGATGGGTCTCAAACACTCTGTGAGTTAGGGACTTCCCCTGCATGCGAAGACAGGCTCTGGCGGATTGAGCGGATGAGACCATTCATGGGTCCAAACACCAAGAAGATGGTTTATGCACATACTGTAGAGGGAAATGAGGAGCAGATTAGGCTTGTCAAGCTGGGAAGGTAGTCCACCTACTTGCACCCAAGGGAGGTCACTTCAGTGCTGCTAATGCAGTGTTTTGACTTCTCCGTGGAGGCACAATCCTTTCTCTCTTGAGACAGACAGATGCCAACAAGGGGAGTCCAATGCAATTAAAATCATATTTTTAAAAATCAAAATTTTATGTGGAAAAAACGCTATCAAATTAAAGCTTACACAGGTAGTGTATATCTTGAAAATCACAGATCCAGTGATTACCATAACCACAAAAACATGGCCTGGGGGTTTTAATGTTCATGTTTTTTACATAGGAAGACAAGAAAACCACAAATAAATCACAGAACTGATCTGCGGACCTCAAATTGATCTAAAATTTGATGGTGCTTTTGAATCAATCTCTTGTAAAAATTTAGGTGATCTTTAAGCAGTGCTTTTTTCTGGGGGTACACAGGGGTGCATTAACTGTTAAACCGCTTTGGATTCTTTGGGAAAGCTATAACTCTTTAAAGAGGTATAGTATTGCTTAAATGCATAGTGCAGACAAGGCGTCTCTCCCCCCCATACCCTAGCACACCAAATAAAAAGAACAGAACATCCGCATTATGTCCAGCAAATCTCAAGTAATGTCAGCAGAAGTTGAGACCAATAATGTGATTTTATCCAGGCAACATAGGGTCACCAGGTACTATAAATACTTTCCCCAGGGCTGCTGCTATAACAATGGTTGGGGGAAAACACAACCACTGATTGTACATGTTTTTCTGCACAATTATTATAATTAGGAACTGGCTATAATAGTAATATTCTTTACCATATTTTGAAAAAGGTCCAGAATCTCCCTAATATGTTTTGTCAGTTTTACCCAGGACCACCTAAGAAAATATCTTCCAGAAGAGCAAAGAAAGGGATTCTTTTTGACCCTGAAAATGTAAACATGGTTTGTCTTTTGTGGAGCTGTCAGCACAAATATCTTATACTACAGTGGCTTGCATTTTTTATATTCATCGTGTTATGTTTTCTGGAATGCTAATGGAGCTAAGTAAGCAATTGTGCTACACTGGCTGTGGGAGGAATGAATTAAGGAACACTTGTTAGGAAAGGTGGTAGAAAAGGAAATTGAGCTGGAGTAGGAAGCTCCCATGGATCACAGAATTATAGAGTTGGAAGGGACCCTGAGGATCATCTAGTCCAACCCCTTGCAAAGCAGGAATATGCAGCTGTCCCTTATTGGGGTCGAACCTGTGACCTTCGTGTTATCAGCAACACATTCTAACTAACTGAGCTATGACAGCAGAGCTCTGTGAATTCCAACAACCTTCTCAGATGGTGAAGGCATCTTATTCCCCTCTTAAGAAAGGAAGAGGTGTTATTTTTAGAATTAAGTTTCCCTGTCTCATTGTTTCATATGTCGTAAACCACCTTCAGCCTTTAGCACTGGGTAGAATATATATCAAAATAATACATGGACAATTGTTGAAACAATCAATCATATACAATTCTGTTCTGGAAAGCCTGACATGCTTTTTCTTTCTTCCTGAACAAACAGCTTGGCAATCATACTAGGAAGTGCACGACCTTTACCTTACTGCGAAGATAATTAGGTAGCCACAGGAACATCAGGCTGAAAATTTGAAAATACCCAAAACTGTGGAAAGACAAATGTATAAATTCCGGGGGAATAGGAACAAAGGATGGGAGGAAACTAGAGGTGGAAAAAGGAAGTGAATGAAGTAGAGAATATTTGTGAATAATAGATGAAATTGCTGCTTTTCCTAGTAAATAAAGTGCTAGACAAAAGTGATACAAAATATGCCCCACTAGGCCATGGTAACCATAGCAACAACCAAAGGCGTTGCTGCCTGTCTTCCTGGTGGATCCGCCAGAAGTACAATACATATTTTATATCTACAATAATTACTCTCTAGACATTTTTATAGTAGTGGATAGTTTTGTGTCCTATATACAAAAGACTTTGTCCACGACTGGACCTAACAGTCAGGGGTACCTTTACCTTTATGAGAGCTTATTTCCCCATCAAACAGAAATGATGAATAAAATTGATGCTGTTTTCTAATACCCCTTTTTGTCTTTACTATCTTAAAAGAGAAAAAAAATACTTGTATGGGAATCATGCATGTGAGATTGCACAGGGGAACTTTCTATACTTTAATTAGATAGCAAATCCTTTTGAAAAACAAAGATCTTTCCACATTATAAAAAATTGCTGTTGCAGATCTTGAGTCACTGGGAGAAATGGGCACAATAAATCAAATTTAATATGTTGCATTTAAAAATGTTTTATACTCCAATAGCCAAGATTATTTTCCCAGAAACGATTTAGGGACTGGTTCTGATGCAACATTTTCCCTCTACACACACTGAATATATCCTGTAGAAATAGAAATCCCATCCAGTTCAGTTTACTTTCTGTTCCTTACATTCCTATCTTTTCTGTTAAATGCATGTTGATTTCTCTTTTCAACAGAAAGTTGATCACATTCTTTTGTGGGGAAAAACATTATTGCAGCATAAATCCTATGTGTAATGGCACAGTTTTCTCTTGGGAAGACATGGCCTCTAGAGATGCTATGCACAGGGGGGGAAATCAAGTCTGAAAGTGTTATTTCACCCTTCAATAGATTTAACTGCAATTAAATTCCAAGAGACATTCAACTAAAAAGGCAACCTTAAAATGGGGCATGTTGTTATTCTTATGCGGTCCAGTGGTTCAAATTTTAGCTCAGTCATGAGGTTATTATGGTTTTGTTTACACATCATACCAAACCATGACTTAACATGAATGCTCAAGCACATGGGTTCCTGGAGAGGAGATAGTGGCCACTTTGCCCTTTTCTGGTTGTTCTGCATTGAGTTAAGCCATGGTTTGACTTAGTACATCATCTAATCTCGGACTTGTGGTTTGATTCTCTCAGACAACCCAGAAACTGCAAACCATAGGACAAGCCATTGTTAATCTGGAAAGAACTAAACCATGAGCCTGGGTTCAGGCAAGACACTAAGGTCGGATTGACACTCATGGTTTATACTGTTAAGGAAGGGGTGAGGAAGTAGATGGACACATTAAGTTTTGCTTGTAACATTCATAATGCATTATTAAAATGTGACACCAGAGGACGCTGAAGAGCAACCAGGAACTGGCAGTAGAGAAACTGCATTTTGATGGACAAAACAAGGAAAGAAAGTAGTGTGTCTGAGCCTAGTATAAAATCAGGGTGGGCTGATGGTGGAAAGTCAGACACCAGGGTGGGGAGAAAGTGGAGGAGAGTTCCATTGTGACAGACAGATCTAGTTTATAATCAGAGAGAATGGTTTTGACTGGAAAGTTTATATCTTTCCATCCCACATCAACTCTAAATATGTTTAGCACAAAGTCCCTGGACCTATTTGTCTGCAATTTGGCAAGTTTCTTATCC